ATAGTGGTTGTCACAATGCAAAAATTCCAAACGCTTGACAATTCTGAGAAAGGATCAGTATTTTTTGCTCCGGACCGTACACATGAATCTTTTCACACATGGCATTGGTTATTGGGCATTATTGACAACATTTTATTATTATTATACATCTGTTTTAAGCTGATCTCTTCCCACTATGGGCTTTTCTCATTGACTGCCATTGACGTATTTGTCTGAAACCTGTGATTTTTCTCCAACTTTGACTGGGGATTACAGAAGAACAAAACTAGATAGAGACAAACTTATTTCTGCTGCTGAAAGTAGACAATCCAATCTTTCAGAATCTGGTTAAATATTTCACATAGTCCTAGCACAAATCAGTGAAATCATCAAAAACCGCTGGCAGTCAATGTCTTAATGTGAAAATTTTCATCACATCTTTTTAACCTTCATTTGTAAAAAAAATATAGAAATAAAATAAAATATTGCTAGAAGTAAATGTTGAGTTGAACTGCTTGAAGTTGAGGCTCCTAATTCTCAAAGTGTTAAATCAAGACCTTTGCTCCGTGCCCGTGGTTTGGGAGTAATGGACCTCTGAGGGAGAGGCCTCTTAACACTTGTGTAATCTGACTACACATTCCAGGCCGTATCAGGAATGCTGGATTCGGGCAATGCAAAGCTCCAAGACTTTTGTTGCTTTTTTCCTTAAACCTATTTTTTTTATAATCAAGCAGATTCATGAATAAGAATGGCATGTTTTTAACTTGTGTTTGAGATACTATTTTTATTTATGAGCCTAACTTTTTCTCATTGTCCTTCTGTATTTTATCAGTGCATTTTTATGAGTAGTCTGGTTCACACCTGTTTGTGCCATTTTATTGTGTTTTTTTCACAAGTAGTAGTAAGTAAGTAATCTTTATTTATATACCGCCTTTTCACTGCAGGTCTGAGTCTCAAAGCGGTTTACAATTGTTAATTTTTGGGCATTTGTCTCTCACTCCACACAGAGATGGGAGCGGGGCCAGTACAGGAGGCGCATGCCAGAACTATTGGACATATTTTTAGTGGTAGGGGAAACCGGAGTACCCGGAGGAAACCTACGCAGACACGGGGAGAACATGCAAACTCCACTCAGAAAGGCCCTGGTCCGACCGGGATTCGAACACAGGACCTTCTTGCTGAGAGGCGAGAGTGCTATCCACTCAGCCACCGTGCCGCCACAAAACAATCAAAATCCTTACTCATTCTTTTTCTTACATTGTTTGTTTATTCGGTTTGCTGAATGGTTGAGAACCTTTGTTTTTACCTTTTTGACCAAGGATGATTTTATAATTTGCTATTGCTCATTGACTGCCAGCCGTTTTTGATGATTTCGCTGACTTTCAAGACCCACAGAATATTGTGTGCTATAACTATGTAAAATATGAAACCAGATTCTGAAAGACTGAACTGTCTACTAACATCAGCAAAAATAAGTTGGTTTCTAGCTAGTTCTCTTCTGCAGTAATCCCCATTTGAATAGAGAGAGGTTTGACAGAAATCACCAGTCTCAGACAAATACAGTACGTCAATGGCAGTCAATGAATTAACCATTATTAATTCACCACTATTTAGTGAATTGCAGTGATTTTAGGTTCTACAAAAACACTTTAATGCTTCGATTTGAACTCTTGGAACCTCTGAAATGGGGGAATTGTAATTTCAAACAAGATCCTATATACCAATTTTGATTCAGCACAACAAAAAATACATTCTTTCTACACTTTTTACGACACATAGTATTCTTGCACCATTTAGAATAGAACTTTTGATAAGGGATCATTTCATAACTTTAAGCTAAAAGTCCCATTCTGTCCTGTCTATACATCGTTTGATTAGATTATTGTCGTCTTGTGAGTCTTCTTTAAGTCCCTGATCATAATATTTGGCCTATTTGCTTTTTCCCCCTATATAATTGCTCTGCTTTATACAGTATGTTGGTTCGTCCACTTGTTATTTTGTGTGGGTGTAAGCAGTGGACAAGTAGTTTTTAAGTGTTGCTGTTTGACTTTATGCTGAGGTCACTGGGTGGAGATCTCTTTCTGCAAACTACATCGACACTTCTTGCTGAACCTGGAGTACATTTCTTATTTTATAGGGTGGTCTTTGCTCTCTTGAGGTTTGCAAGAGTTGGAACTTCCAGCTGCTTTTGAAGTCAGTTTTCACACCCTCCTTAAATTTCATGAAAACATGAGCATTGGGAGAAAAAAAATAAATATCCATTGCTCCTTTTTTTTTATTTTTCTCGAGTTGAAAAACAAGTTGCTGTTACTTGGACTCGTTATGATCTCTCTCTCTCAACGCTGGACACTGCTGAGCTTCTGAAAAGGGTGGTAACTTCCTTTTGGATAAACATGTCATTAATCTGTGAGAACACATTCTTTCACATCACAAGATAACTAAGGAAATGTCCGATGTTGCAACATAGGCGGCCCCCTCGGACTGGTTTAAATGGACTCTATGCATATGGCTGTCTGAGTAAACCCAGTCCCACTGCTGGATACAGGGCGAGGTGATGCAACACCAGGGAACGTAATGGATCTCTCTATTGGTCTTAAAATAATATGCTGTTCTAGTCCAGCCACGGATGTCATAGGTCTTTAGTTCTTAAACTTGGATACATGAAAACAGTTGGGATGGAGGAGGAATACGCTAGCGATGACTTGGAAAAATCTATTCTGAAATAACCATCACTATTGTCAGATCAAGATTTTTGTCCAGTGCACATATCATTAAAACTGTTACAAAAGTATTTGGCCCCCTTGAACCTTTCAACATTTTGCCACATTTCAGGCTTCAAACATAAAGATATAAAATTTAAATGTTTTGTCATGAATCAGCAACAAGTGGGACACAATCGTGAAGTGGAACGAAATGTATTGGATAATTTAAACTTTTTTACACAAATAAAAAACTGAAAAGTGGGGCGTGCAATATTATTCGGCCCCTTTACTTTCAGTGCAGCAAACTCAGTCCAGAAGTTCAGTGAGGATCTTTGAATGATCCAATGTTGTCCTAAATGACTGATGATGATAAATAGAATGCACCTGTGTGTAATCAAGTCTCCGTATAAAGGTACCTGCTCTTTGATAGTCTCAGGGTTCTGTTTAAAGCGCAGAGAGAACCATGAAGACAAAGGAACACACCAGGCAGGTCCGAGATACTGTTGTGGAGAAGTTTAAAGCTGGATTTGGATACAAAAAGATTTCCCTAGCTTTAAACCTCTCAAGGAGCACTGTGCAAGCAATTATATTGAAATGGAAGGAGTATCAGACCACTGCAAATCTACCAAGACCCGGCCGTCCCTCCAAACTTTCATCTCAAACAAGAAGACTGATCAGAGATGCAGCCAAGAGGCCCATGATCACTCTGGATGAACTGCAGATAACTACAGCTGAGGTGGGAGAGTCTGTCCATAGGACAACAATCAGTCGTGCACTGCACAAATCTGGCCTTTATGGAAGAGTGGCAAGAAGAAAGCCATTTCTCAAAGATATCCATAAAAAGTCTGGTTTAAAGTTTGCCACAAGCCACCTGGGAGACACACCAAACATGTGGAAGAAGGTGCTCTGGTCAGATTAAACCAAAATCAAACTTTTTGGCCACAATGCAAAACGATATGTTTGGCGTAAAAGCAACACAGCTCATCACCCTGAACACACCATCCCCACTGTCAAACATGGTGGTGGCAGCATCATGCTTTGGGCCTGCTTTTCTTCAGCAGGGACAGGGAAGATGGCTAAAATTGATGGGAAGATGGATGGAGCCAAATACAGGACCATTCTGGAAGAAAACCTGTTGGAGTCTGCAAAAGACCTGAGACTGGGACGGAGATTTATCTTCCAACAGGACAATGATCCAAAACATAAAGCCAAATCTACAATGGAATGGTTCACAAATAGACGTATCCAGGTGTTAGAATGGCCAAGTCAAAGTCCAGACCTGAATCCAATCGAGAATCTGTGGAAAAAGCTGAAGACTGCCGTTTCATAAACGTTAAGGTCTCGTTATGATTCTCAAATCATTAACGACAAAACAAGGAATAAAACCAGGATTTTTATCTTTGTGAAAAAGGTGTTAATAATAATGCATGGGTTTTATATAGCGCTTTTTTGGACACTCAAAGACGCTTCACATGTGTCATTATTCATTCACTCCATACACGGTGGTGATAAACTACTACTGTAGCCACAGCTGCCCTGGGGCACACTGACAGAAGCGAGGCAACCAGTCTGTGCCATCGGCCCCTCCGACCACCACCAACCATTCATACACACACCAGACTCATTCTAGGCAATGGGGGTGAAGTGTCTTGCCTAAGGACACAACGGCAGTTTGGCACTTTACAGCCGCAGCCGCCCCACTGTGGCTGGTGTTCCCAGAGGTTAAGTGTCTTGCCAAGGACACAACGACAGTAGTCAGTGGGAGTCAATGGGCGGGGCTTGAACCCACGACCTTCTGGCTCAAAGGCCAACGCTCTACCAACTGAGCCACTGCCGCCCGTGTTGGTTATAGATTTGTTGATGAGAAAACTCTTGTCTATTCAGCTGTTATGGTCCCAGCTGGATTCGTCTGCATATCTGGCAACCTGAGTCAGGGAGAGTGGGAGAGGCTGCAGTATCACTTTTGGCCACATTTTCAGTCACTGAGTCACAGAATCATCCAATCAGAGGCTGTTTTGGTTTAAAATGTCACCAACACTGTATTTGTCAATCTTTCCTTTTGATTTTATCCACACTTATCTCTTTGATATTAGCCTGGCCTTAGCCATCCGTACACGCCGCTCAATAATCATTTCCCATGTGATTTGTACTATGGTGTGGTACAACCAGGCTACTTTGATATGTCTGGAAAAATTATTTTAAAAACAATCTATGAAAGTCATTTTAGTTTTTTATAACCTTTTAAAGTCCAGATACTTTAATTGACACTTTACTGTTAGAAAAGACACCTGGAATATTGATATTATTTTTCTCCTGTAGATCATGGGTTTGTTGGATATTCACAAGAGCTGCTCCAAAATAATTCAATGCCGGAGTACAGCCCTGGGGAAAACTTCTTCACTGTTTTTGGAGTCTTCTTTCCAGCTGCGACAGGTTAATCTTGTTTTGTTATCATTCTAAATTATCATATCAAATCAGAAGTATAAGTACAAGTATTTATTGTGTGTTCAACCAGTGTGTTTGTGTTTACATATTTGTGGCCTGTGTGTGAAGGGGTCATGGCAGGATTCAACATGAGCTCCGACCTTCAGCGTCCCGAGCACAACATCCCGGTGGGAACGCTCGCAGCTGTCTTCATCTCGTATGAAAAACACACGGCAGACACAACATCTGGGTTTACACTGGATAGATTAGGATCATTTATCTGTAGTTGTATAATATTTAGGTACATATTAGGGCTGTCAAACGATTAACATTTGTTATCGAGTTAATTACAGCTGAAAAATGCATTAATCGCATTTCGAACTATCGGCAAAATGATGCCATATTTTTCTGTAAATGGTTGTTTGAATGGAAAGATAAATGACAGTGGATATATGTACTGAATTGTTTTATTATAACAATAAATCCACATAAAATAGCATTAACATTATTAACATTCGGTCTTTCTGTGACTCAGACCAAATCTATTGTTTGTTTCAGGGATGAGGGAATCTGTTGGATTTGCTCACAACATTTTACTTCTTAGCACAACCAACATGAACTGGTAGTGGAAGAGAAAAATGAGGTACCCCAGCTTTAATTTAGTGAGTTTAGTGAGACACGGACACTTCCAGAAGCTCCATATCCAGCCTCAGCGGTGTGTTTATGGCGTACACAGGTTACACAAAGCCCCTGTGCGTGTGCATGGTGTTGGATATGATCACGTTTCAGCGGCGGCGTTTGTCGTGTTGTTGTCAAAGCGTCACGGAGGATTCAGACTCCTGTTCAGTTCATACAGCAAACAACAGCCACATATTCTTTTTAAACTTGAATTCCCAGAGGCCCTACCTGCTCAGTCACCATCTCACTCACGCATGTTTCCGCGGCATTCTAAACGTTATTATGGGATGCATGGGCGGGTCATTCGTTATGTGTTAATTTTTTTCACGCGATTAATGAAAAAAATGAATTAACGTGCATTAACGCAATCATTTTGACAGCCCTAGTACATATGTAATATTCCAGGTCATCAGATATTGCAAAAATACATTGACACCAGGACACTGTTTGGTACTGTTAGTATAATATGTCTAAAAATAGTGAAATGTTCCTATTTATAGCGTCCAAAAGTAGTTTTAACTGCAGGTGGTTCCTGTATCTGGTCTTTGTCTTCCTCCTGGGGGCCATCTGCACCAGAGAAACACTGCGCTACGACTTCTTAATCGCTGAAAAGGTAAGATTTACTGTTTTATTTTGAGATATAAAAGTGTATGTTACAGTAAACCAACATTTTAGAGCAAAACAATGTTGTGATAAACCTCTCTCTGTTTTGAAGTGTTTTTATCCATAAGGACTCACTTTTTCACTTCATACAGAGACTGAAGTTTGGATTGTTACACCGGCTTAGAACAAACTGATTTATTTTAATGTATTCATGTAACATTTAAGAAAAGATTGACTTTATTGATCTTTGGGGAAATGTACGTGTCATATTTGGCACAGATAGAATCACTCAGAGACAGAACTGTGAAACTTCTGTTCAGGATATAATTATGTACAATAAAAAGGCGATAAAAGAAAGAGGCAATACCAGTGCAGGTTTTTTCAGTTCTGGTTCATTAGTGACTTAATTAGCCCTGGTAAAGATTATGGTGTATTACAGAGAGGTATAGAGAGCGCCGCTTGGATGTATAAATCAGATTAAAGCCAGTCAGGTGCACTTTAGAGATTGTGAGTGAATTGCAAATATCATGATGGATCAAAAACAGTTCAAGTTAGACAGGTTTTAAATTGACAAAATACACACAATTCTTTTTCTTCTGATTTTTTGTTTAGTCTCCTTCAGTTTTAATGCAGACTGAATTGTAATTACATAAAGATTTATAGTGTCTAATGGTTAAATAAGGCGTGCAATGGTTTGATTGGGTGAGATTAAGTGTTGCTAGTGACATCTACGACAATGTCAGCAACACAAGCATGTAACTCCGCCCCTTCAATCTAAACACTCCTTTCTCAAAGATATATAATTTAAATGTAAGCCCCACAATTCATACAAGCCGTTTTCTCCCTTTTTAAAACAATTCAGTAAGCCTCTGTAGAAAGAGCAGGTGTTGCACATGTAGCATATATAGACTGTATGTTTATTTGTGTTACCAACAGAAACGATACAACTTTCATTAGTGAGGTCCAGATGCAAGAATCAAAATGTCAGGAAACAGGATAGCATTACACACTCAGCTCGGGCGTCCAAAATCATAATTATTCACGATGTTTCGGCTTTATGCCTTCATCAGATGTTTTTCTTATGACAACAAAAATTGAGCCTCCGACCATCACCGTTACTTCAATCACAAAATACTTTTCAATTTAGCATGTTTTTAGAGGAAGGGGTGACCGGAGCGCCTGGAGGAAGCCTACACTGCCTACACCCATGAATGCAGACACTGGGAGAACATGCAAACTCCACACAGACAATATTCGTTTGGGTAATTTCTCAGGTGAAATGTTGTTCTTCAACCCCCACGATGCCGGAATGGTTCTATCAAACCTTGGTCTGACCCGTTTCCTTGGTGCAGACCCGTTTGGATGTGAAAGTCCCCCACATCAGTGAGGTTTTGGTGCCGCCCGAGTTTGTGGCTGATTCTCATTGTTTTCATAATGGGCCGAGTGCAGCGGAACTGGAGCAGGGTGTAGCTCTGTTTGTTTTCCCTCTTCCTGCAGGTCTCCTTGGTGGGTTTCCTCTTTCTCTTCGGACTCTATGTCTCATCCCTGGCTTCTTGCATGGGCGGCCTGTACGGAGCTCCCAGAATCCTCCAGTGCATTGCCCAGGAGCGGGTCATCCCTGTACTGGCCTTTTTGGGACATGGGGTGGGTACATGGATGTACTTTTTACTTGTGATGTAAGTCCTTGAGTGTCTAGAAAGACGCTTAAGAAAAAAATATTATTATCATGGATGTGGCACCAATAATTATACAGTGATATGATGAGTCAATAAGACAAAATATATGGTGCATTCAATATTCAGCAATGTGAATCAATACTTTTACATGCATGAAATCATTTTATCTATTATTATTTTGATAAAACTTCTCATAATGTTTTGCATCAACACTACAGATTGGTAATGAGTTTTAAAAGTATAAAATTACCCACTTTTAAATTGGTTGTGATTTAATGACATTATCTTTGCTCGAATTGGAAAAACATTTGCTAAAAACCCCTTTCCTAAATCTGTTCTTTGTTGTCGTCGTCGTCAATCTTTATAACGGTCCATGGTTAAAAGAAAATATCTAATACACACAGTATGTTGTATATTGAAAGAGATTATATATATTTTACCAACATAATTTACATCCATTCTTAGGAAGAGAAGAAACTTATCTGAAATGCTTGAGTGATTACTATTTGAAACTATATTAATGTTATTGCACAAACTTTATATGAAATTTTGATTTGATTCAAAGTTAACCCTATTTTTACTACATTAACAAAGCTGTAGACCTCCTTCCATCAGATAGTCGTAAATTATATCTAAAGGGAAAACTGTCATGGATCATTTGAAATCTGATGAGTGGTTATGGGTGTAGTGACGGTGGCCCGGGGGTGTGGCTGTGTGGGGGTGTGGTCATGTGGGGGTGTGGCTGTGTGGGGGTGTGGTCATGTGCAGTGTTGCCAACTCCTCAGTAAGGAAAGTAGCTATTGGCTGTCCCAAAAGTCGCTAGAAGTCGCTAAATGACGTCATCGCCTAATTTGCATAATTGGCCATTTGCAAATAACTAACAGACGCTGTAGGAGAGAGGAATAACGTCGTGGGAGAGACAAAAGTGAGTAAAAACACCCTAAATATGTTTAGAACTACAAATGTACAAAAATAATTTCAACATTAACAACATTTAATGATTTTAATGCTTTGTCTAGATCTGTCGCTAGTCGCTTTAAAAAAAAAAAAAGTTGCTATAGGGTCTGAAAAGTTGCTAAATCTAGCGACAAAGTCGCTAAGTTGGCAACACTGTTCATGTGGGGGTGTGGTCGCTGCTTTTATGACAGCTCTGGCTATATTTAGACTTTGAGGAGCTCTGTCCTCTTCAGAGCTGTAAAGTAGTGCTCACAGTCACGTCCATGCATTGACCTCAGTGACCCCTGGCGTCCTCGCTCTTCCCTGACCCTCGCAGTGGCCTGGATCTTGGCCGCACTGAGGCCTAGACATCTCGGTCCAAATCAAAGGCTCAGAACAAACGCAGGAAGGGCGACGGGGCAGAGTCCGACTGCACTGTGTGTTCTGGAGGTCCGCCAGGAACTCGCAATGACTGTATGGACATTGGATCTGACTGAGTTGAGAGTATTTTCAATTAATTCTGATGATTTCAGTTATTTTTCTTGAATAATCTTCTTGTTTTGGGCCAAACCGTTTTTTTTCTCCTTTTTTGAAAACACACATATTTACAAAGTGTCTTTTCTAACATTTTTGGACAAACAAATTTGCATCAATAACTGCAGTTCGGTATCATGATAAGAATAGCTTTTCCAATATGAAATAAATTACTCCTTGATGACACATTGGCTCACATGTTATGTTAAATAATGTGTATAATTTTAAATACAGACAGTGATTTCTGTAAAAAACTAAAGATACAAATTTTTGTTTGCCCTATTAAAATTGAATATAATGGAATATAGAAATCTTTATACAAGAGATGGCGTCCTGGATGTAATAAATGTTCTTGTCATTTTGGGTCTGCTTCACTTTAATGGACCAAATCTGGTTCACTCGGCTTAAAGATGCAGTCAGTGATTTTTTTTCCAGATGCATTTTTTTTTAATATTGTGGGAAAACGTCCATAAACCCTATCATCAAGTTATAATGTGTTTTCAAATAGTAACGGAATTGACCAGATGTCTACAGTCTACAAAAATTAATAATACATATTTTGAATAAACCAATGGGATGTGTTTACCCTCTTCCTGTTTCTCACGAGTACACCTCAGTTATCGGATTTTCTAAAACCTCAAATGGCTGAACAGAAAATGCCAATTTCACATTTGTTTCACTCTCCCTGTTGTGACAAAGAAAAGAAAATGCTGGGTATTTGGTTTGGTGGAGAGGGAGGGGAGGGAGGGAGTGGTTTCCAGTTGATGCTACGGCTAAGCTAACAAAATTGCTTACTGCGCCTTTAAGATATCCTTTTCAAAAGATAAAAGTTAAAGCAAACCAGGCCAACAACAGCGAACACACTCTTCCGTTTCTCTTTGGCATAACGTAATTTCTTATAGACATGTAGTACACAGGAATAAAGCTTTGTGGCCTCAAATGTGATGTGTTTTTTTCCCTTTTTGAACAGAAAGGCCCAAACAAGACCCCAGTGGCTGCGATCTGCCTCACCAGCCTCTTGACCATGGCCTTTGTATTGATCGGACAAGTGAACATTCTGGCCCCGATCGTCACCATCAACTTCATGCTCACATACAGCTTCATCGACTACTCGTTCTTCAAAGTGGCCATGACCTTCCAGCTTCAGACTAAAGGCAAAGGCAACACAAGTTTCTCGAACAGACCTAAAAAACCATCCAGGACAACAGAACGTATTTCTAAACCTCTGATTGAAAAAACCTGTTCAAACTACGGCAGCGGAGACCAGAGTCCGCAGCGGAAAGAGAGGCCGTCAAACGATACAAATCTAATCTGCCCTAAAGAAGATGGATCGGGGAAACCTCTCTGCGTCAAAGAACCGAGGAGGAAAAGTAACGTCGATGCCAAAGAGATGCTGATGAACACTTTTGATTTGAATCGTGAACACTCAACGGTTGTGGATGGTCAAAAGAAGGAAGAAATTAATGATTGGACAAGCAATGACACAAGTGACCCAGGATCTGAGCCAGTAGAGGAAAGTGAACCATGTATTCTGCAAAACAAAACAGGTGATCAACTAGATTTAGTTTTCCGATGGCTGTTTATGTACTTTTTTCACAGTGTAGTAGAAATCAGGACTCGCCTTCTAATGCAGGCATGTCCAAACTCAAGCCTGAGGGCCAGTTGCGGTCCGCTGCGTCCTGTGATATGGCCCTCCGCCTTGCTAACCCAAATTATCATTGAGATTACAGATAATAATAATAATAATAATGTATTGGTTTTATATAGTGCTTTTCTGGACAATCAAAGTCATTTCACATGTTATTATTCTTTCACTCCATGCACGGTGATGATAAACTACTACTGTAGCCATACCTCCTTTTCCATCTTAAAATAGACCAATTCCAGTCAAAAAAAGGTTTTACTATCAGCATGGCCCTTTTACTAAAGTTTGGACACCCTTGTTCTAATGGGTTTTGACTGAACTGAAAAGTCTTGCCTTTGTCGTTTTCAGATTCTGACAACGGAAGTATTGACATCAAACCAATTGTCAATTCATTTTATCTAAAAGTTTGCAACCCCTGGATAGCTCTGATTGGAGTAAGTACATAAAGTTTTCAACATTATGGATGGGACATAGCCTGGTTGTACCACACCATAGTACAAATTACATTTGGTACTAAGGTCTGGATTTGCTCCATTGACTCCGTTAACAGGTGCAACTCCTTTTGCAGATTGAAACGATTGGACCTGAGTTTACCGTGACGTATGTAATGCCCCCGAGTGAGTTGTTAGCCTTTAGCCTAGCTGTAGCCATCTCCTTTGCAGTTAATGGAGCCCATGGGGAGTAGCGCAGATTACATTTGCTAAACATTCCTCTTGCTCCGGCTTCAATTTCTTGATAGAACCAGAACAGAATACTTTAATATCTCATTCTTCGCCAAACCAAAACCTTCCCGTTCGGCGCAAACTCTTGATGTCACCCACTGCTAACTACAACACCCGCCTCCCGCGCTCTCTGATTGGTCGGATGGAATTCAACCGTTTAATTGCAAACACAGGGACCAGACCCAGACGTTACATGCAGTGAAATGATGATTGAGCGGAGTGTACGGATGGATAAGGCCAGGGTAGATGGGACAAGAGAGAAAAAAAAAACAATATTTCTAGTTACTTGTTCTAAAACAATTTAGTACTATGACTCGAACTCCTGATACAATTTGATCGTTGTCACATTCTCTGGTCAGCCTTTTTCAGACAAAAAGGAAAAACACATTTCTCACACCCTCAGACCAATCGGCTCTCAGTGTCTCACAGTTTTCTTTCTTAAAAGTATGCAGAATGGCATGGTTTAAACAAAATGAAGACGTGGGTTTCTTTCTATGGCGACAAACGTGTTCCTTGTGGAAGAAGTTGGGTACCGGAGCTTTCGGATGAGATACAGCAGGAACAATACTGCGTACATTGTTTGGTTCTGTCAACATTTCTGCGGCCACATTTCTATATTTTGTGTCTCGGCCTCTTTTGGTAACTCACAGAAACATGAGATCTGGTCCCGCTCAGGAGTGCTCAGAGTGATGTGTTCTGTCCTTTCAGGCGATCGGCTCCATTGGGATCATGTTTGTTATAGAATGGCTCTATGCTCTGGCAAACATTATAGTGGCGCTGTTGCTTTTCTTCTACATTGGAAAAGCAAGTCCTGGACTGCCTAAAGGTAAATTAATCATTTTAGGAATTAGTCAAAAAAAGCTTTATAGGTAATGATATGTTTTTTCTTGGATTTATTGATTTTTAAAATGTGTTTTTTGAATTAGTTTCAGGGCATGCTCTTGACCCTGAAGGAATAATAATGATAATCAGTGGTTTTGTGTGATTGATTGGGTTATTACTGTACGACAGCACAAAAACTTTAATCTAATTTGTAGATAATTCAATGTAGTTAATATTTAGACAAATCAACTTTAATCTCTACAAACTAATTACTGAAATTATCAATGCAAACATGAATAGAAATTTCAATAAAATTGTTTAATACAACAGTTATCCCCAATTGTTTTAGACCATCGTAAGTTTATATGAGACATGGGGTTGATTCCTGAACATATTCCACAAACAAGACTCCAATGGTGCTTTTGACTTTGGTTAAACGCAGATGAATAACAAACAATAATCACAGTTAATAAACTTTGTGTCAGCGCCAAACCTGAAATTAAAATAGTGCCTCATTGGACCATTTTCTGTACAGACTCTGCAGCATTAACGCCAACAAACACTGTTGGACATTCTTCAATAGTTTTGGCAAGATTTGACATATACTGTAGTGGTGACATAAATACTATAGTTTTTGTTTTAAAATTAGTCTTTAAAGTTTAAGGATAATTTTATTGAGAAGATCATTGATATTGAGTCTATTTGTTAGTATGAAAAAGGAGAAAGTTGGTACTACCATAGTGAGTTGGCAATACTAAAAATACTTATATTTGTCATTATCTGAGAGTGGGTTAAACTTGGGTTTTATTTGACTGTAGAAGAATATGTTTGATTCTCAGACTCCTGCATTTCTAGAGTCTTTGCTCATGATTTTGCCGAGCAGCTGTTGGGGCTTAGCGCTGGAGCGACTGTGACAGCATCTACTTTATAAACTGTGTTTCTTCATATTTGCCTTCTTTAATATATTTTTGCACAGGTGTTGCTGCTCATTTCAGCTTTTTTACGTGGGTGAAAAAGACACTGAAAAGCATTGTCAGGTACAGTCCAGTTCTTAGTCATTACGTGGTTTATTCTGTGTTCCAGATCATTTGAATGTAATTATAACTTTATAAATTGTGACTATTATTTTAGCAGCACGTGCTTGTATTTCACAGGAACAAGAGCCTTCCTCAGGATGAGATAGTTCTGACACCATCGCTCTCCAGGGTCGGATTGAAAACCAAACAGTTGACTGAAGAAAATGCTGATTTTTCCTCTCGCCTCCGATATCACCAGTCGTTTTTCATTGGGCCAAACAACACGATGCAACCAACACGGTCTGAAGTTGATGATGGTGTTCATTAGATGAACTGATGCCCAACTGTAAATAAAATTATTGCAAATGTTTGTTTGGTATATTTTTGGTAATTTCACAAAAATGCACTCTTAAATTTTATGTCTGACCAAATCCATTTTACACCCTTCTTTTTGCGTTTTGTCACTGTTCATAATCTACTTGTGTTTTGTGCCGGGAGTTTTATGTTTCTGAATTTGTTTGTGTAAGCCCTCAGTCGTACAGGGATTAGTCAAAGCAAAGGAAGGTTTCTCACCCATCATCTGTACTTCTTAGCAAGTTTTCCCTTGCTAAAACTTGCTAAGAAGTACAGATGATGGGTGAGAAACCTTCCTTCGTTTCTGAATTTGGTTTCAGAAATAACAGATTTTGCCTTCACATTGCTCAACATATCTAACCATAAAGGATTACAGTCCGACAGCTGTATGTAGTCCATAGTAGACTGAGAAAGTAGTGTAAATGTTATGTAGTGTCGCGCTGCATACTAATTTATACTTTAGTGAACGTCCCATTCTCCACTAAGGCGGGCTTGCTCCTTGTTCGTGGAGCAGACAGCGTGTGTTTGGGACAGCAGGAGGAGGGGCCCGGGGCCCCCTGATAACTGGCTGCAGCCTGTTGCTTTATCTTCCGCCCGCGCTGTGGTGCAGGGACCTCCTCTGGACCTCCTCTGGACCTCCTCACTTCAGCCTCTGAACTCCGCGCAGACGGAGGCACTTTCCATGGTGTCCCCGGAGGATACTCCGATCTGTGTTAGACTTTACGGACTGTATCTGTGTCTGCGGCCGAACGACGATGAGACACGCGTGGTTTTGGAACCACGTCTGGGGACTGTCGCTGTGGATGGTCGCACGGTGCGGGAGCCTCGGGACATGGTTCCCGCAGAACTCCACAAGTCCAGACTTTTATTCTTCCAGCTCTGATCCGGGGGATGGATTTACACACGCAGCCTCCATCAGCCACAGCCCGGTCTCATCACCTCGGAGCGGGCTGCACGGCCACAGCTCCACCGCTGGAAACATGGGTGAGTGCAGAGAGTGCTGTGTCCACTGGGGGGTTAGAGGGGGGTTAGAGGGGGGTTAGTGGGGGGTTAGAGGGGGGTTAGAGGGGGGTAGGTCTGGGGCAAGTGCCCATCTTTTCATCTAATATACCAACTTTATCAAATAGAAATGTGCGTTCTTGGAATGCTGACTCTAGTTTTTGAGTCTATAGAATTGAGAGAATTTATATTTGATGTTTGTAAAGTGTAGTCCTACATTTTGTCAATGAACACATCTAGAAAACAACGGCTAAGATTTGAAGCATCTCGGCTTAATTAATATAAGAAATGAAAAACGACATTGCAGTCCACTCTGTATGAAAGCGGTTTCCTCAAATGATTGTTTCACCTCACTATGAGCCAACTTCAGCATTACCCTACAGCCTACACACCATTATCACAGAAGCATTGAGACTTGCAACATATTCTGTGAGGCATAACTACACTTCTCTCTTGATTGAACCAAGTGATAATGGTAAAGTGCTTGGTGCCTGTCCCTGATGTGAAGTGTGTGTCATACTCTGCCAACATCACATTCCTCTGTCACAGATTGTTGAGAGAAGACAATGAAAGAAGGAGACAGAGAAAGGAAGTGCAGCAAAAAGTAAAAGTCCAATTAGCTCAGTGACTGCCAGCCTGTTTTGATGATTTCACAGATTTTCGAGACCCACAGAATATTGTATGCTGAGACTCTAGGAATTATGAAACCAGATTATGAAAAACTGGACTGTCTACTTTCATCAGCAAAAATAAGTTGGTTTCTAGCTAGATTTGTTCTCCAGTAAGCCCCAGTCAAATTGAGGGAAGTTTGACAGAAACCTCCAGTCTCAGACAAATGGCAGTCAATCAATCAAGATGCACACACACATTCTTCCCCACACAGATCTGGCCAATAACATTTAAACTTATTTAGTGTCACAGTGGAGATGTTGGTTTAAAATCAGGAACATTGAAGGCAAAACATTAACACAAAGAAGATGAACAGATGCAGAAAAGCCCATATTTTTGCAGCAGACACTATGACTTTTGTAGTAAATTGCTTATGAAAGAAGAGGATGAAGAATTATTGTGTTAGTGTTTGTCGCAATGTTACGCTTGTGTTGCTACCACACATCACCGCTACCAGAGTTTTAGGGTCTCCATTTCTTTTACGACGGACCACATTTGATACATAAAGATCGTCTGCTAATCACATAAACACATGAAGAGTATGCAACCCACAACAGCTTCTGTAGACAACCTAGATTTATTCATTTATTTCAAACTTGCTCACATTTTCACATAAACATAACGGAATAAAAACATGGAAAGATATGAAAAAATGAAATTAAAATTAAAAAATTGCTGAGAGGTTGATTGACACAAAGATTGGAAAAGAGGTTAGTTGAAGCCAATGCTAACTTTACCGATACCCCCTCTCCCAATACACAGTTCAATGTACACAGGCCCAAAAGCTCTCTGACCCGACACCTCTCTCCCAACACTCACTCAGTGCAAAAGGCATCACTGTTTCCAAAAGGCATCACTGTTCCAATTCATCAACTGATTTGAGAGAGTTTCAAGATTCCCTGAACGACATTGGAGCAGTTTTAAAGTTAATCATGTTTGCAGTTTTAAGCTCCTTTTTAATTCAATGAACTTAGGATTAGTATGAGGTCTATATTGGCAATGAGATTTTTTTTTTTTGCGAGTGATTAAAGGCTGTGAGATGTGTCCTCCTTCCCCACAATAATTGAAATAGGACTTTATGAATGAACGATGCAATAAATCAATTATAATAGTCAGACAACTGCTAACTGCAAGCCTCAAGAACTTGATAGATAATGTATATACCCCATTACGCCTGGTAATAACTGTTAATGCTGATTTTAAACTACAGTCGAACCTGGACAGAATCGCACACACAAACAGACATAGTCCAGGTGTTTATTTTTTAACTTGTTGCCCAGTCCAAGGAGAAAAAGTCCTCAGACACAGCACATGAGAGCTCGGGCTCCTTGAGGGCGGATCTGAACTCAGACCAGATCGAAACTTGCTTTTGGTGGACCAGACACACCTTCATCATACGCAGATAGGAATAGAAGAACCAACAGAGCAAAGGAACAAGGACACAAGACCTTCGTTGCGATGTAAATGCTTCCTCCTGTCAAAATGGATTAACACACAAACCCCCTTCGTCCAGACATCCTGGCGCCAAATGTGAATTAAAATACAAGCACCCAAATGTATTTTAACCACATATGATTCTATAAAATTATAACTTAAACATCATTCTAATGTCAATAACTTTTATTGCATATGAGGAAATTAAAAGTTACAATCAGTAGTCAATAGATAAAACCCAGACAATGGATCGATACATTTTATTATGAATTAATAGTAAATGAATGTGAATCGTATGACCCAGGATTTAACCGCCTCATGTCAAAGTAAACACTACACAAATCTCCCTAATACAGAAAGGTCAATCCTCAAAGAGATACTAATCTAAAACTAGTTGAACCAATTTCTGATTCATTTATATATTTAAAAAGTGGCCTTGGGCTGACTCTTGCAAAACAGTAAATACCATAATCATTTTTTTTTTTTAGATTTCATATAAATCTGATAATAACGTCCTTCTGTCCTGAGATAATAACAGAAATGAACCGGTGACACAGCGCTGCAAAGACAATGAGCAGCGGCACACCTATTTCCAGGCTGGTGCTCCTGCCCTCGCTGCACTCGGGGAAGGAAACACCCCCGTCCCCCAGGACACACTCCATATTTTGGGCTCACTTCTGGCAACAGCGGCTTCCCATTGTTCTATACGTCCAAATATTCTACTCCTGATCAAAGCTGTAATCCTCACAGTGTCTTCAGTCTGTTTTCAGTGCCCTCTTCTGGTAAAAGGTCAGAAGATGTGTATGTATATTTGTATGAATGTGTTTTGCTTTTTTATAGTATTGTACAATTAGGCAAAATAATAAGTAAAATTAAGACAACAAAAGATTGAAAGGTAAAGGGGTAACTTTGAAACCACAAAAAATAACCAAGTAATTAAGTCACTGTAACTACTGTAGCTACACTGCAAAAAGTGACAAAATACAAGTTAATAAATGCTCGAATCAAGTCTTTTTTAAATTTAATTTTGCCAATGGAACAAGCCATTTGGCCTTTTTTCAAGTGTTGTTGCGCTTTTTGCCTCATTCCAAGGGAGGCATTTCTTGATTTTTCCTTTATCCTTTTTTAAACAAGACAATATTGCTTGTCCCAATGGCAAATCCTGTTTTTAGTTTGTCAAAATGTGCGCAAATTCAGTTAAAACCACTTGATTGAAGCATTTATTACTTCATATTTCATCATTTTTTGTAGTGTGCATAGTATTGCATGTTTTTTTGGCCTCTGTCACAGCTTTTTCAAACAGAAAAGTAAAAAAGCAGACCACCTTCGCTCAGCCAATCAGCTCAAAATCGCCTTTTCTAATATGAATAATTGATGAAGACCAAATGTTGTGGTCTGTTTGTTTGTTAAAAGCCCTTTTCTGTTGAGTAAACAAACATTCATTAGTGAGGAAAAGTTGTGATGCTTTTGTCTCATTGTTGTCTGTTGTGGTTCAGACACACATTGAGCAGCACGGTGGCTGAGTGGATAGCACTCTCGCCTCTCAGCAAGAAGGTCCTAGGTTCGAAACCTGGTCGGAACAGGGCCTTTCTGAGTGGAGTTTGCATGTTCTCCCCATGTCTGTGTAGGTTTCCTCCAGGTGCTCCGGTTTCTACCACTAAAAACATGCACAATAGGTCTGAATGTAAATGAGAGAGTGAATGGATGGTGTTGGAGCTGATGGTCCAGTGTGTTCTGGACTCGCTTCTGTCATCACCGTGTGTGGAAGGATTGGAACAATATCTGACTCTGAACATTGTAAAGCGCTTTGGGTCTGTACCTTGGTCTGTAAAATGCGCTATATAAATAAACATCACTTACTTACATGCTTTTTATTGTATTCATGACATTTAGGGAGTTCAGATCAGCCCGTGCAAAGTCAAAGATCATTACTAATGGATGGTCCAAATCATGTGACAGCCAAAGGTGGTGGATATTGATCCACGCATGTAAGCAGCTAAAGTAACTGAAAAAAATTAAAGTTCTTTGTTATTTATTTTAAAGACACTACAAAACAGTATAACACGGTGGAAAATAGTAAAAGCTCCTCCAACTAAACGTCACAAAACCAAAAAAATGAACACAGGTGTGCTAATACACCAAAACAGGTGCAATGATGAGCCTGAGCCAAGTTACAGCACCATCTAGTGGCGGAAACAGAAAAGGCAGCAGAGGCTATACAACTAACTTCTGTTTTTGTTTTCATTTAGACACAACTGAGATGCAAACCATTTCTGAAAGAAGCAGCAAAGCACTGGAATCCACAAGTCAGACTCCTGACCGTCTGGCCTCGTCCGTCTCCTCCTCCACCACAGAACCTGTCTACAGCAGCAGCATTCAAAGCAGTAGCACCCACAGAAGCACCCACAGCAGCACCCACAGCAGCACCCATGGCAGCACCCGCAGTAGCAGCCAAGACAGCAGCACCCGCAGTAGCAGCCAAGACAGCAGCAGCCAAGACAGCAGCAGCCAAGACAGCAGCAGCCAAGGCAGCAGCACCCAAGGCAGCAGCACCCAAGGCAGCAGCACCCAAGGCAGCAGCACCCAAGGCAGCAGCACCCAAGGCAGCAGTACCCAAGGCAGCACCCACAGCAGCACCCAAATCAGTAGCACACACAGCAGCACCCAAGACAGCAGTCCCCAAGACAGCAGCACCCACAGCACCCCCCAAGACCACACCACCCAAGACCACAGCACCCAAGACCACAGCACCCAAGACCACAGCACCCAAGACCACAGCACCCAAGGCAGTGACGGGACATCTCACAGCACCCACAGGCACCAGGCACCTATGGGCTCCCCTTCAGTCTCCCAGGAGTTTTGGACTTGGACCGAAACGGAAGACTCAAGCTTGCTGGGTGACAGTCCAGATAGCACCTTAAGACTCGGAGACGTGACCAATATTTCTGCTCAGACTTATTTCAACACGGACAGCGATTACACATCCACCACCATGAGCAGAGCGGGCGAGCGGACGTTACTTTCTGTTACCGTGCTACAAAACAACTTCAGCTCTCCTCTTTTCACCCAGGACTCTACTTCTAATGAGCCATCTGCAACATGGGCACTTTCTCTGCAGACCGTAGAGGACTATACTCGAACCATTTCAGTGCCTAAAACCGAAATTATGGACACGAGGCAAAAGCAAACTGATGTGTATAGAGAAACGTATTCAGAATCTGTGTTGTCGAGTGGGACAGAAACTTTAACAAACTCCACAGACGATCAACAAGCGTTTACAGCACACGTGACATCCAATTTGACGAGATCTTCAGAGGTGACGGATCCCAGCTTAAGTCAAACTGAATCATTCGTTTCTTCAACACCTCCAATGCTTTCTCCTGCTATTTTACCCAAACATGTCTCCCCCGATGCAGAAGTGAGTCCCTATTATGAAACGTCCACTGAAAAGTCCACTCAAAGTCTCATCACTCAGAACCAGGAAGGCACAGAGCGGGTCCCGTCTAGAACCGAGGAAGATGCACTGGACTTACATACAGAGGCCCTAACCACAGCGGCCCCCACACTCAGCAGCTGGACACCGGATTGTCTGACTAAAACACCACCGCTGGTTATTACAGAAGTCTTCCCTACAACTACAGCTGCCACGGTCACAGCGAGGTACGTGTGTCTGATGCATTGTGCAAATCATGAGATGTTAAAGTACAAGAATTATTATGATAAACATTGGATTGGATACTGTAGACTTTTCTTGTGGGGAAGACAGTGGTCAGCAAGACCCTCGGTGGCATCAGTATCTGGACAAAGGCCTTTTAGGAGTTTACATGTTCTCCCTGTGTTGCCAGACCAGCAATAACCGTACAAATTAGCTACTTTTTTTACACACAAAAATACAATCACATGTTTCAACCTTAATGTTATTAATTCTTAATGAAGGGTCTAATGTTAAAAAGATTCGTCTGAACAATTTGCTGCCGGAGGATCAGAGGGACTGGTGAATTGAGATTTGGGGTGCAGCTCTGATCTCCCCCCCCCCACCCAGAAAGAGAATAATAAAGGGATGAAAATGACATGACATAATAATATTTGTAATACTAGACTCTTTAGATCAAAATCAATAGTGATCTACTAATAATCATTACACTCATATCCTGATTTATAATTGAATAGATATTAATACTGTTTTACCTACAGTCAATCCTGACAAAATCACAAATGCAAAAGACATAGTTTAGGCATTTTTTTCCTTCCAGAACATGTCTGACCTCAGTGAGGCTGCAGCTCCTTTTGATTCTACAAGACACACCTTCATCTGCAGATACGACGGGAAGAACCAACACAAGCAACAAAAAGCACTCCATATTTAACATACGAGCATCTTGGAGCATAGAATAACTAAGATAAAATTACAATTACAATAGAAAAACTAATCTGGTAAACATCACATGTTATTGAACAGGCTTTATAGAAGGATTTACATAGAAACTGTCTTACTAAATACTGACTGGGTCAAACTTCTGACTTTTTTCTCGTCAACACATTTTGAAACATGACATTAAACTATAGAATTCTCGCTAAAATTCTAATTAGACATTTTTCTTATATTTCTTTTCTGTATTCTTCCACAGACCCCAGCTTCAGACAGAGGCCTCTTCTCCGGCTGCTGTCTCCACAACAAGTCTCCCTCTGTCAGACTCTCCCACATCCAAATCCACGTTGATCAAATCCACCGCTGCAGCCTCACAAACCACCGTCTCTCATTCCAGTGTCTCTGCCGAAACATTCACACCCAAACTGGAGACTACAACAGCTTTCCCTGAGTTTGTGCCCAGTCTTACCGCAAAAACCTCCACATCCGCCCCAACCAAAGCTACCACTCTGCAGCTAAGGACGAGTGCAAGACCCCTGGAAGTGACCACAGCCTCCAGCAAGGGGACCACTACAGTCACAACCACAAACCGGACCCCAGCCCCGAGCTCCGAGACTGAGACCTCCAGTCCAGCGGTCACCACACTTTCCACGGCCGTACAACCTCCACCATCGCATCCCAGTATGTATTTACACTCTCTCTAAACCAGGCATGTCCAAACTCAGGCCCGGGAGCCAAATGCGGCCCCCATTGTCATTTCATGTGGCCCTCTGCCGCACTAGTAGTCTTTGAGATCATAAACAGTTCACTGTGTCATCCATCCAACTTCAGCTCAGCCAATATAGACCTAGTTCTAAAGCCCAATATGTAGTTGACTGTATTTGCACAAATTGTACTCGCATGGTTTTTGATGGTGTTACAAACTTCCGTTAATGGTTCTACTGTAGCTGGTGAGATGGTAAACATGTGTCATTCAGCCAACTTCAGCTCTTTTTTAGATCATTTTAAAGCTCAGAACAGCCAAGACAGTTTTTCAGTTCGTGATGTCGGCCCCTGGACTAGTCTGGTGAGCTGAAGTGGCCCTCTTACTACAAAGTTTGGACACCCCTGCTCTAAACAAAGATTAGGTGTAGAGGAGGTGTAGTTTTACAAAAAGCTGGGGCAACAAACTAACTTTTTCTTAACGCTTTCATGAATAACACAAATGGATCGGATCGCAACAGGCCACGACAACATTAAATTTAAATCTTGTGCATGCTTTTAAGACTGTGAGGCATTCGACATTATTTGGCATTATTCAGACTCAAGGAATTCAAAGTGCTGATCAAAACAAGAAAAAACACATGAAAATCCTAAGTGATCAGTAATTAAAGAGTGCAGATTGATTTAGTTGTTTGCACAGAAAAACAGAACGGTAAACAGATTGTTGCTGCATAAATGTAAGTGGTCTTCTATTTTTACTTTTTTTGTGTGAAAACTAGCGATAGAACCTAGCGGCAATGAGAGCAAGAACCTGTTTGCGTTGTTTCAAGTTAAAACAGCTCCCTCGTTGGAATATATTAAGTCTTACGTCCCACTTTTATTCTCTGGCTTTTAACACCGTTGGAGTTGTGTATTTTTATATATATATATTTATTTTATATTTTTTGCTATTTTTTTTTTTTTTTTTTGTTGTACAGCACTTTGTAAACTGCTTGTTTATGAAATGCTTCAATCTAATGTAAGTAATTTCTCACTAGAAAACAACTTGAAATAGGAATAGATTTTATTTGTATTTTAAGTGAGTCAACAAAGGAGGGAATTAACATACAAAAACTGTAACGATACAGAATTAGTTTGTAATGAAGCTTCTGTTTCTAGTTAGTATTATACACATGTCACTAAAAACACCATTTAAAGGTCATTTGAGAGATATAGTTTCCCTGATGACAAATAAACTTACATTTTCTACTGTCTTGTCATGATTGTGGAAGTGAGCTAAAATACATTGAAGTTCTGGAACTTATTATATTATTCAGTTAAAGTAGCAATATGTAAAGGGCCCTAATCTGTCATCAATAAAGGGCCCTTATCTGTCATCATTAACGGGCCCTAATCTGTCATCATTAAAGGGCCCTAATCTGTCATCATTAAAGGGCCCTAATCTGTCATCATTAAAGGGCCTTAATCTGTCATTATTAACGGGCCCTAATCTGTCATCAATAAAGGGCCCTAATCTGTCATCATTAAAGGGCCCTAATCTGTCATCATTAAAGGGCCCTAATCTGTCATCATTAAAGGGCCCTTATCTGTCATCATTAACGGGCCCTAATCTGTCATCATTAAAGGGCCCTAATCTGTCATCATTAAAGGGCCCTAATCTGTCATCATTAAAGGGCCCTTATCTGTCATCATTAACGGGCCCTAATCTGTCATCATTAAAGGGCCCTAATCTGTCATCATTAAAGGGCCCTAATCTGTCATCATTAAAGGGCCTTAATCTGTCATTATTAACGGGCCCTAATCTGTCATCAATAAAGGGCCCTAATCTGTCATCATTAACGGGCCCTAATCTGTCATCATTAAAGGGCCCTAATCTGTCATCATTAAAGGGCCCTAATCTGTCATCATTAAAGGGCCCTTATCTGTCATCATTAACGGGCCCTAATCTGTCATCATTAAAGGGCCCTAATCTGTCATCATTAAAGGGCCCTAATCTGTCATCATTAAAGGGCCCTAATCTGTCATCATTAAAGGGCCCTTATCTGTCATCATTAACGGGCCCTAATCTGTCATCATTAAAGGGCCCTAATCTGTCATCATTAAAGGGCCCTAATCTGTCATCATTAAAGGGCCTTAATCTGTCATTATTAACGGGCCCTAATCTGTCATCAATAAAGGGCCCTAATCTGTCATCATTAAAGGGCCCTAATCTGTCATCATTAAAGGGCCCTAATCTGTCATCATTAAAGGGCCCTAATCTGTCATCATTAAAGGGCCCTAATCTGTCATCATTAAAGGGCCCTAATCTGTCATTAACAGGCCCTAATCTGTCATCAATAAAGGTCCCTAATAAGTGAAAAAAGGCATTAACCCTTTAAGCGCCAAAGTCGCAATATTGCGACAAGCAACATTGCTCACTTAAACAGGCTGTATGTAAAAATGTGGAGCAGAATCTTGTTAATACTTTTCACCAGGGGTTAGTGGACATGTGTGCCTGTAATATGAGCAACATTTGTGGGTGTGGTTATATTGAAAGTTTTTGAGTAAATTGAGTTCGTAAAACACCTGCGGCGCTGCAGCGCGGAGGCGAAGCAGCAGCGGTAGAGCTGAGAGGAGCGAGAGCAGAGCAGAGGGAAAGAGTGTTTTTTTCTTTTACTCACGAGGTCTTCAGTACCAGAGAAGTACTTGGTCTGGTACTGGCTCACTCAGATTCAGAGGAGGAAGACACGCAGGTGTCCAGTGAAGCAGACTCGGGCATTATTGGTGACGGGGAGACAGCGCTCCATAGTCCACAATCAGCCCCAGTACAGCGGCTGCTTGTCCTCCGTGTGGCCGCGGTAGAAGCATTCTGTGAACGCCAAGCAGGGGCCGGGGTCGAGGGGACAGGGGCATCATAACACCGGGCATGTGGGAGAAAGTAGCCGGGGTAGACATCCACGGGGATCGCGGAAGACGCGGGAGAAGCCGCGGGAAAAAGCACATCGCTTATTGCGTTCACTGCCTTTACCAACAGTGATGATGAGGATGAAGGCAGTTCTTGAGAGAAAATAATCCACAAAAGTGGACCAGAAGTGTTGAAGAGCCTGTTGTTTCTTGTTGAGACGATCTGACATGTTCTGTGCCCATTCATTTCATCTCTCTGTTTCTACACGATAAATCCTGGAGCCTCATTTCCACTGAGAAAAATAGTATGCCCACTACTTCTTTGAAAGGGAAATATTGAAACCAATCTCCAGATTTCATGACTGTAAACTATAAAGAGTGCAGTCTTGATCACTGAAGGTCTTTGAAAATAATAAAATTCCATATGGCTGCGAACCAGTGCTAAAACATTATGTATAATCTGGATCAGGGAATTTATTTCTATCCCAAATTCATTTCATACTAAAGATATATTTCACATTTACTGTTTATAGTATTCCTTGATCTCAAATAACTCCCAAGCTACAGCTTTTTGAAGTCTTTATACAATAATTAACATTTTCCAAAATGGCCGCCACCTTGATGACGTCAGAATATGCAAATTAGATGACTAATCAACTTCCATCCCAAAGTTTGGTTCAGACTGAAGATATTTCTAATTTACAGTATGCCTTTATCTCAAACCATTTTAAAGTTATAGCCTTTTGAAATCTTGAAATCAAAATTGTACATTTTCTTGAAAAAACTCTGGCGCCTAAAGGGTTAATAAACCATGGTCTTTTTTACTGAAAAACAGTAGTTCAGCGATATTTGGATTTCAAAATTACTTTTCCAGCCCCTAAATCTTGTTATTGTTTTCATTTTGATGTCCCGCCCTCCACCGTTTCACCAATCAGAAAGTCTGTGGTCCGGGCGCCAGAACTCACCGCGTGGAGCTAATCTCACTGGTAAAGTACCATGTGGCGCAGAACTAAAAAAGGTCTCGTTATGATTCTCAAATCGTTAACAACAAAACAAGGAATAAAATCAGGATTTCTATCTTTGTGAAAAAGGTGTTGGTTATAGATTTGTTGTTGACAAAACTCTTGTCTATTCAGCTGTTATGGTCCCAGCTGGATTTCTCTGCATATCTGGCAACCTGAGTCAGGGAGAGTGGGAGAGGCTGCAGTAGGGCTGGGCGATTAATCGATTTTAATCATTAATTCGAGTTTTACGTTTAGGGCGATTTCTTTTTTTAAAAATTCAATTTTTATTTTCTCCAACGCAGAACTACAGCGCTAACGCGCTAACCGCGGGTCTATGGTGTTGAGCAGTCATTTTGAAGCTAACCTAATGCTAACAGTTTCCCTCTGGCCTGAGGCTCGCTCTCACAGTTGGTGCTGTTGCAATAGCACTTCAAACGTTCAAGAATCAGACTTTATGTAATCGCCAGAACACACACACACACGCACGCAGGCTCCGGTCGTTATGTCCGTACGCCATGTTCGTACGCCACATCTTTCACGCTCTCTCACGCTCGTTATTCCAAAGCGTGAAAGCGCACTCCCGTGTCCGTGGCGCGCACACACTCGTGTCCCACTGAGCCGCTGCACTTTGGGGAAAGACACGTCTCACACATTGCTCTCATTGCTCTGATACAAACAACGTGTTCCCCGCTGTCTGTTAGCTAGCAACCTGCACCAATGGTTTGGCAATGAGGAATGCTGCTCACTCTGTAACGCTCCCAACGCAAGCCTTCAACACATCTTGTCAGGCTGCAAGATTGCGCTCTCCCAGGGACGCTACAGGTGGCGCCATGACCAGGTCCTCAGGAAGCTCGCCGAGGTCCTGGAAAGGTGCAGACAGGGTAACAAACAGCTACCACCAGCAAAGAGCCACACCAACTTTGTCAGGGAAGGGGATGGGCAAAGTTACACCAGGCCAAAAGAGACATCGCGGCCCTTTGCCCCCAACCAGGAGTGGGACATGAGGGTTGACCTTAACAAACAGCTCCAATTCCCCACGGAGATCACCATCACATCTCTCCGCCCTGACATTGTGGTTTGGTCTTCAGAGGC